TATTCGCATCGCGTGCCTTTGGCTTTTTACCTTTATGTCGTGTTTAGCATTAGCGTGGCTCCTGGCCCCGCTCCTCCTTGGCCATATCCCGACGCCTGGATCTGTATCCGTCGACACATGAAACGTGACTAAGCTGACAATTGTGTCGAAGTAAATCCAAGTTTTGTGAGCCCGACTAAATAAATCTCCCAGGCCAGCGCAAAACTTTGACAAACAAAGATTGTGGATGCGCAGGGCTTTGCAAATGACGCACAATGGGCCATGTGTGTGTGTTCTAGAGGGGAGGGGGTTTCCTACATGACAGGCGACATAAATAGTTGGGCAGACTCCGGCTCCGGATCCAGCTTTAGCCCCAGTTCGGGCGGGACTCGAATTTAATAAACTGTACACATTCACCTATGCAAAGGAATTACTTGACCGGACCGGTGGAACAAGGCACTAGGCACAAGGAATTCCCCACTAAACTTTGACAACTTTGTGCCGGAGTGTGTGTGCGTCCGCTCTATTTATATGTCAAGCGCAGGCGGTGCAAACACACAGATACGCACAGAGATACAAGGCTGTGTTGGTGCAAATATAAACAGAGACTGTACACGCATACAGATGGCCCGCATTATGCTACGCCCCCTAGGAGGTCGGGGGTCAGAGGTTCAGGGGTGGGGACCGGTCAAACTGGGCCTGTAACTGGATGCAATACACAGACACGCTATAAACAAAGCGCCCAATTGTCAGTTTAGACGCCTTTTGTTTGCTCCCCCTTGCATCTGCCCTCCTGTCTGTGGCTGCTGCTTATCAACAAAATGGCAGCAGCAGCATCCCCAGCACCCCTGCATCCCCAGATTCCCAGCTCCCCAATCACAACAAAAAATTGCGTATACGCAGCGTGGCACACATGTGCACTTGCATTTTTCAATGCCGCATTGTGTGCCCTGCTTGTTTTCACCTGTCATCATCGCTGTCTCTCTGGATTATTGTTATTATTGATGGTGCTGGGGGTTTTGCCGCAATGTAATGAGCTAGAAAACAGTACGCTCCATCGATTAAGCGATTGTCATCACCTTTTCCGGCCTGACTGCGTTGCAATTTCCCGCTTGGCATCTTTATCTTTCGCTTCCCACTCACTTAACTCGGGCAGAAGGAACACGGGACAATTGCAGAACGAAACTGTAGTTAAGAAGCGCTGAGAGCGGCTGTCAGTTGGAGCCGCCCACCTGGGGACTCGTAGTCCTTTCTGGGAAGAAGGTGCTACTAGCGACCCAGCTCAGGTCGCTCATTTTCATTACTCCAGCACGCCGGCTTCACCCTCTGCTGGCAGCAATTCATGCTTAACTGACATTTCAGCTGTCATACCAAAAGTGTTTTACATTTCTCTCTCGTCACGGGAGCCAGGAGTCGGGAGCCGGGGAAGAATTTCCTCCTGGCGAAGGTGTCGGCATGCCCCCGCTTCCCATTGTTGGCATGCCACAAGCAGCTGGTGTCGCTTTTCGGTCCCCGCACCCCGCCACCGGCCCTTAATTTAATTAACATATTTCGCCCGACGCGTGCTCGAATGTTTTCATCTGCTGGCCCGATAATGCGGTATCCCTAATTGAAGTTTCCCTGGACGCGACGCATACGCCACGTCGCCGAATTCCCCCAATTTAGCAGGGAACTTTGGAAATACTTTTTGCCATGATCGCTGATTTTCCATTTCGGTTTGTGGCTGGCTTTTTTCTGCTGAGTGCATTATAAAAGCATTAAAATGCAAGCCAAAAAACCATAACCGAAAAAGGGTCAGGGGAAGGGGCAGATGGAGGAGGAGACAAAGCAAGCCCAGCAGGAGAATTCGCTTTGTCACACACTCACTGGGGGAGGCATTTGGCCTTGCAGCCTCCCACCTCCCAGCACCCACCTCCCACTCAGCACCGCCCTTGGTTATCACTAAAGCTCGCCTCGCTTTTTCATGCTCCGTCTGACGAAATGCCATTACACATTTTGCGTACCCTAAAAACAGGAGCAGCCTCTACAGCTACGGCTACAACTACAACTACGGCGCATTCGCATTCAAAATGACAACGGCAACAGAAGCGCCGGCAGAGGAACAACAACAGGAACAGCACAAACAAACAAACAGCGGAGGGAAAAATAAACGCTGGGGGTTGTAGAAATGGAGATAAGCTGCTTATCAGCGCCATTCCCAGTAGTTGCCCGTTGTTCACTCGCCTGGCTGCCCCTTCCCGGCCTCCATCCCAGCCATCCTGGCCCATCCCGGCACATCCTGCCACATCTTCTCCTTCTTCTTGCCTCCGACTGCGCTTTAAGTGGTCGCTTGGCATTCGCATTGGCTCCCAGTTCATGGCAGCTCCTCTACGCCTGTCTGCATGTGGATATAAATGTGGATGGGGATGCGAATGGGGATGTGGATGGGGATGGGATGTGGATTGGGATGTGGATGAGGATGTGGATGTGGATGCGGATGCCAACTGGCAGGCAAACAGGCGACAGCAGCCACGACCAGTGCAGAATCCTCTCTGTTAGCCACTTTCCTTGGCCCCCAACGTGGCCATTGTCAGCGTTGTTGTCTTTTTTTTGCCATTTGGCTAAGCCCTTGACTTAGCTAGGCCGAGGAGAACGACCAGCAGATACCCAGCAAAAACATCCTAAACAGTGCGTTTAAAAATGTTTAAATGTTTTGAATTTAGTAAACGTTTTAAAAAGCTAACGTCTTATAGAAGTCCATTTAAATCTACAAAAATCACTATGATTTGAAAGAATTTTAAAACTTAATTTCAGGTGTCCAGAAGTATGCTTATTTATTTTAAGATCAAAATAGAAAATTTATCAGAAAGACTCCTATCATCTTTAACTGCATACTTTTAGCATCTAAAATTACATTTAAAACCGATTTCAAAACCATAGTTTTTTGTTTTGAAAAAATTAAAATAATTTTGTCACTAATATGTTTAAATTGAACTCCTATGGCAAAATTAATCGAAAGTGCTGATATGCCCGCTAGATCCTTGCTAAAAGAATTGACATTTTTGCTCCGTTCTTGCTAATATTAAACTAATGCATGCAGCACGCCACAATCCCCCCCCTACAGATCTTATGTGTATTTAAATGACGCCATCGCTTGTGCATGCAAATGGGGCTTGGTTAGCTACTTTAGCTTAACTTTTGCGCTTGATGACGATATAATTGGAGGGCAATGCAGCGTCGAGGAGCTTGAAGTTCTTGGCTAATGATAAGTATCTAGGGCGGGGGACAGAGGCAAAAAACCAGGAGCACGTCACTCATACGCACCGGCGGCCCGAACCCGCCCATTTTCAATTTCCATTTTCCGCGCTTCAACTATAAGCGCCTTAAATCCGAAATCTAATTACACGCAAGGCAAAGACAAAAGTCCGCAAATATTCTCCACCCGATTTTAATCACAGCTGACCGACCGGCAGGGCAACTTTGCCGCTGCCAATTTTGAGTGAGCATTTTTGGGGCAACTTTCGGTGCTTTGGCTGCTTTTGCTGCTGTGTTTAACCGCGTGAAATAATCTTTGCTGGCAGGCAGTCGGCGCCAAATCCTGCGGCCCTCCTCCCCAAATTTCTGTTGTTGTTTCCGCCGCCATGGGTGTGGGGTAAGGGGGGCGCGTTTCATTATAACGATAATGCGCAGGCCCGCGGCAGTCCGGGCAGCAGGCAGACAAGTTGGTGTCATATTTTCCGCAGCTTAAATTTCCCACAGCCAGGCCAGTGGCCACTTGTGCGCCAGATTCTTCTGCTGGCCCCTGGTCCAGCTTAGCAGAAGGCAAAAGGCAGGGGCGGAGGCAGAAAAGGAGCAGCAGGAAAAACGGGAATTGTCTCGGCCTAGCGCAATGCGATTACGGCCAAGGAGGCCCTACGAGGAGCTTGCAGGACTAACCAACTAAGCCAGAGGCGGCTCACACACGCACAGGGGTCCTTAGAGGGCGGATTAGGACGGGATAGTGTGGGGGAGGGGGAGGGGTACGATTTTCGCGCCCCACAAATCTCAACAAATTTGAAATTTTCTTCCTTGGCCGTTGGCGCTTCCGTTTGTTGCCGTTTTTTATTAGGCGTTTTGTCCGCTCTTCAGTCCTCTTTCGCTTTTGGCGTTTGAATTTGTCGAGCATCCTGTTTGCTCGGCACCCGCCCCGCCGCCTCCCAAATCCAGCCCCGATCCCCTCCAGAAGGAGCCCTCGAAATGCTTTTTAAGCCTACAAATGAGCTTAAAATTTTCTGTGCGAGTGAATGCGAATGCTTTTGAAATTTATTACAGCGCAAGGAGTGAAGAGGATAAGGGAGGCACACTCACACTCGCAAGCACACACCGACACCCCAGGCGTGGCTGTGTGTGGGTGTGGGGGTGGGGGTGAGTATCAAAGGCATTTCGGCACTCGATTTTCGTCCTTCTCATCGTCGCCTTCTCGTCGGCATTGAAATTTTTGAGCGCGGCAAATTGAATTTCATTTGAATGTTTTTCCCTTATTTTTATTTATATCTTGTTACTCGATTTGGAAATTGCCTTTTGCCTGGTAATTTTCAGTTTTTAGAGTTTTGTATCTATTTCGACCCCCCAAAGAGCTTTCCGTGTTTGTTTGTTTAGTCATGCCCGAAAAGGAGGGCCTGCAGAAGGAGACAAATTGAATTTTCTATGCTGTTGAATAATTTCATTTCGATTTTGTTCCTTTCGCCTGATTTTTGCCTGGCTTTCAATGCCAACTGATTGCAGCGCCCACCCGCCGTTCCGTCAGATCCATTTGCAGTTTAAAAATTCACGAAATACTTTTAGTGTCAAATGTGCAATGATTTCGCCATTCACACAGTGAATGCAAAACGACCGACAGAGTGGAGTTTGATTTATCGCCGGTTATTTTCCCGGAAGCACCGGCCCGAAATGCAATTAGGCTAAAAATAAGTTCTCGATCTAAGCACTCCGCCGCCGTGCAAATACTCGTATTTTGTGGCTCGCCCGACTAATGCTCCCCTATTTTTGCAACCTATTTTCAGGCTTCCTCCTGGAAGGAGTCACGCCAACGGCACCCCCGGATGTTCCGCCGCGTAATCCGACAATGAGTCGCATGCAAAATGGTCGTTTAACCGTTAACAATCCCAATGACGTTGACTTTGAGCCATCTTGTTTGGTGCGAACGCCGTCGGGCAACGTTTACATTCCTAGTGGAAATCTAAGTGAGTAAAGCCCGATAGACCGCTGTCCCCGCCCCGTCCATCTACATACAAATCCCATTTGGAAAGTGTGCCGCTCGGCCGCTCGTTTGCTGTCTAAAAGCCTCCGCAAAGCAATTTTTCCAGCCATATGCAAATCCAACCCGCAGCGAACCCATCCCCCCTTTCGGGGCGACCATCAAAAAGCCACTTGACTCATTTAAATGTTTAGCGCTCGCATCGTGCACAAAAATTCCATTTGCCATATTGCTATAAAAATGCAAAATCAAAAAAAAGAAGGGAATCGAACGGCGGAAGGGAAAAGGCCGCAGCATTTTGCAAATTTTCAGCTCTTTTATTTCCCATGCGCCATGCGCCTAAAATGCCCCATACATTTGCCATTTATTGTTTTTCCAACAATGTTCTTGGCCTTTTTTCCTTTCGGCCGGGCTCAGTTCAGTTCGTTGGAGTTGGTTTTGTTTGTGTTTTCGCTCTATGCATATCCGCAAGCAGGCTTTGGGGATAAAAACATTCGAAAGTGGAGTGAAAATAGTTGGCAGCAGCGATGGAAATGGAAATGGCAGCGGCAGTGGAATGGCTATGGCGGCCAACAAACCGAAAAAAGCCAAACGACCGCAGGGGCCTAAACAGAAACCCGGAAAAAACTGACAAACAACTGCGGCGAATGGCTGTCGGAAGATATGATGTAACGCGGGCGGGTATTTATGGGTCTATTAATTGAATGCAGCCTTATCGAAGGACTTTCATTAGAAGGCAGCCGATTCCTGATGCATTTCGCTGCGTGCATTTGGGCGCTCGCCCTGAAATGTCAACAAAATGCGAGAAAGTAACGAAAAGAAACAACAAAGCCCAGTGTTTTTGTCCTGCTGCCACGCCCACCGTCCTGTGCCGCCCACCTCGCACGTCCTTTGGACTGTATAGTATACATTTGTGTAGCACACTTTCGGGCTGCCTGTGTATTTGCCTGGCCGCCTTTGTTTTCCTTTTGCATTGTGCAAATACACACACACTGTTATCGTATGTATGCCGAGCTTTGTCTTGATTTTCCTGCGTGCCATATAATTTTCCCCACCTTCTGTGTGTGTGTGTGTGTGTGTGAGTGCTTTCCCCATTTTTTATCCAAGACATTTGCTTTGGAGAGCGCAGCTGGGCAGTTGGCTTACTTTCGATATTTTCCTGCCCCGAATTTAATGCTGAATTTTCGGCCTGAATTGGAGCACTTTAAACTGCACAGATAGATTTTGCATACGACACTGCCTAAGTGTTCTTTCTGTCCGCCAATTTGCATTTTGCATATCGTTTATAGGCCGGCCAGACCCCGCCCCCTTGCTAGCCCAAAGTGCAATTAAATGACTATTTATGAAATTCTATTTGCATTTATGCATAAATTGATAAACATTCTAACCTGCCAGCCGCAGAGGGGGATGCCCGGCAGGGGCCGTTGTCATCGTAACACAAATATTGATTAAATTCTATATCAAATTGAGATTCAGGTTGGCCCACACACACGCACACAGGGATCTGTATGAATAAACATACACGGCACACAATCACATGACATTTGGCAGCGGCCTCTTCATTCTGGCCCGCCCCAAAGCTGAGAATATTTTCATTTCAATTTTTCAATTTTTCCACCAGTGCCAATTTTTATGGAAAATATTATTTGTTGACTTCTGGCGCCCGAAAAAGGAGGAGCCGCGCAGAGCCGAACTTGCAAATGAAAGAATTGCGAATGAATCGGGCGCGGAACAGGGGCCTTCGGCCTGCGTATTTTCCGGGAAAACTTTGTCCGTAATACGCTCTCGAACCCGTGCATGTAGCTTAAAATTTCTGTGCCAGCTCCTGTGCGCGGGATGAAAAAATGCTTATGCACCATATGCAAATACATATAAAAATGGGCATTCTGCACGATTGGATACACACGCATCCCATCGGTAGCGGGACAAAAGTTTGGCCAGGAGTTAAAAACAACGAGTGTGTGTACATCGCGGCGGAAAAATTGCATAAATTGCCGCAGCGCGGGAAAAAGGAGCATTCAGGGGGGGGATCGCCCAAAACAAAAGTGGACATATTGGAGGGAGGATGACCAAACTCTGCTGTGATTCCAGACCCGCCCAGCGGCAGCTGCTCCCGATTCCGTTCCCGATCCTTTAGCCGCCTTAAAGCTTCGATAAAACGCTGGCCCCAGATCCGCGTCCTGATTGGGCCGCACTTTACACCTTAAATTGTTAATGACCCGTGAGGGGACCTCCACAATCGCTGCCCTGCACTTGAAAAGGACGACTGAGCATTGGCCATGCAAATGTAAACGGCTTCCGCCGCCGTCTGCCGGTCCTTTAGCAACTTTCCAGCCCACATCTCCAGTGTCTAGTGCGGTTTCCACCATCGCCTGCTACGTTTTCATTATAATAACAGGCCGTTGCGGCATTTTGATGCGGCAGTCTGTGCCTGCCACTTTCCCCTTCCTGTTGCCTTAATTTTTCATCGCTCTCGAGGTTAGTTTGCAGAAAAACTTTGCGCTGTCATTGACCGCTGCCATTCCACCGGCACTGCCACCTCCTCCCGGGGGCCATTCGAGCTGGACTAGTTCAAGCGCCTAGACTAGGAAGCCCACCACGCCCCCGGCGTCTGCAGGAAAGGTCCTGTCTCCGCCCGCCCCCGTGTCCTTTGGCCGGCTTTCTCTGGCCAGTCGAGAGTCGGGTCGTCGAGAGTCGGGAGTCCAAAGTCGGGAGTCTAGTTCACTGTCTATTGGCCGGTCGTTATTGCTTTCGACTGGTTCTGGTTCTGGTTTATCGCCGCTGCCAGCCATGGAAATACTCGTAAATTTGCCAGCATTTTTGCAAAACCTCAACTGACCCCCGCCCGCAACTCTCGTCGGGGCTGGGTTGCGGGGATCCCCAGAAAGTGCTTTAAATTTGTATAAATATAAGGGCAGCATAGTGAGGGACCAAGAGATACGGATAGAGTCGGCGGAGAGCCGGCACGTTTTGGTTTTTGCTGCTGCTGCCACTGCTACTAAATTCATTCATAATGGGTTTTTGCCCCATTTCGGTGTGGCAGTTGCCCCGCCACTCCGCCCTGTATAGTGTATATAAATTTAACGTTTTTACGCAAACTGAAATTTATTATGGCGCAGCGTAGTAATTTATATTTTATGCCTGCTAAGTACGGAGCCCTTCCTTGGCACCCGTTGAATGGATATGTGGCACATCCTTTATCCTGCACTTTTCACGCACAATTTTAATTTTGTCTGCAGCGGAGGAGGGCAGGTGGCGGCTCTGGAGGCGGAACCGCGCCCCTACCCACATCCACATCCATATCCATTCGATCTGCCGCTTTTTTGTGACGCAACAAATTGCCTTCGTGTTCCGCTTGGCACTTAACTTCCCAGACATGTATATATGGTATATATATCAGCATACATGCATTCGGCCATGGCTCTATGGCCATATAGCCATGGCTTTGGCTTTGGTTTGACTTTGGCCATAGGTAAGAGCTGTGGCCATTTCGGTCCTCGTACGTGAATTTAAGTCCAGTTGTTGCTGTGGCTGTGGCTGTGGCTGTTGCTGCATTTATAGACCGGGCAATAACCATTTGGCAACTAGAAATTGGCATTTTATGCTCGCCTGTCTGGCCGTCCCCTGCCCCTCGGTGCCTGTGTGTATCCTTTGATTTTTGAATGCAGATTGTTGCGGGATTTATTGATATTGAGTGCGATTGAACCGAACGACCCAAGTGGGGCCAACCCAAAGCTCTGCTCCCTGGCCAAAATACCTGGAATTCCCAGCTACTCGGTTCGGAGCTAAAAACGTTGGGTGAAAGCACCTGGAATATACTTCTGGGCGACTTAATTAGGCGCAGGGATAAGTTTTGCCAGTCGGGGCTGCTGAATTTCTTAAAGCATACTTTCAGGTGCGCATACGAAATTACTTGGCCCAGCCCCGATTTCCTTTGAATCCTTTCGTCTTGGCCCGCCTCCCCTCGAAAATATGCAGCGAAGTCATGCAGAACATTAACAAAACAATGTTGCCTCCTCCCCGGCCTCTCGGTATCCTCAGCATCCTCAGCTGCCTCAGCATCCTTCGCAGCTGTCCTTGCTGGTGGCATTTATATGCTGCATAATTATGAGGCATGTGCACGGCTGGGGTGTCTGCATAATTTATATGTTTTTAATGATTTCGCCCTTCGCAAACAATTTTTAATGATTTTCAGATGGCAACATTGCACATTGCACTGCTCCTGCCGTAAGATTTGCCGTTGTGGGGCATCTATGTGTGTGATTAAAATTGCAATGCACACGGAGCGTATGTGGCGAGTGACTCGGCTTTTGTTGCTGCTTATCCCCCGTCCGTATAAATATGTTAATTAAAATAATGTTACCCGGCTGCACAAAACAAAAACGCCGAGCAAATGGCTTAGAATAGCTCGGCAGATGGAGTGGCTGGGCTCCCTGCAGGCTCGCTTTGTCGCCATTTTGCATTTACATGCCACGCTCAACGCCTTTCAATAGGCACACCCCACATCCAGTTTCCTCGCAAGGAGTGCGCACATTGCTCGGCATTACGTATACGCAGTGGAGCGCCTGGCCAGCCGCACGGAATGTAAACAAGCGGCAGCAGCCTCGTCAGCTGTGGGGAGCGACTTCCGTTGTGGGAAATGCCGCCAGTGTCTGGGCAACGTCTTTTGTGCCTTTTCTGCTTATTCAAAATAAATTAAAAATGGAAGAGGAAGTGGTTTGGTGAGGGGGGAAGGGGGAGTCGCTCGGGGAATGCAGCCAGCCATCGCATAATTATGAACTTGAAAATTCCTCAGGACGGGGGATAATGCATAATTATTTAAATAAAAGACGCTGCGTTCTCGCCGCCCACTCACTTTCTCCGCCAGCATCTTGAGACACGTCGAGTGGTTCAATCCTTTTGGGGACCGCTGCCCCCATCCCATCCAAATTGAAATCCCAACAGCAGCAGGATTACTCCATATGAATTTTTAATTGGAGTATTTTT